CCAGGGGATAGCCAGATAACCAGGGGAGGAACAGTGTATAAGGAGGAGAAAAACCAATACGATCCAATTCACAGCGCATGTATTCAATTGAAAATCCATCGTGAATAAATAAAGATTCGATTTCTTCGAGCGCGCAAAATTTTAATTTCTATTAACATACTTATACTATACGAAACCAAGATGATCAGTACTAGTGAAATCCAAAATCAGAATCGACAAATGCTCATTGTCAGTGACAACAAGAATCATCAGTACGAGTGCAAATCAAAAGAAATGAAAGCGAACCAACCCAAACAAATAAAAAAAGAACGAGACATAAAGTCTCGGACCGAATATCGTTTATAAAATAACCTAATGAGACTATTGATCCTTTATATCCGCCCAACCAGAGTCGTAAAATTAAAAATTAAAAATTAAAAATTAAAAATTAAAAATTAAAAATTAAAAATTTCATTTTTTTACTTTATTTCCTTTCCGTAATGAGCTGCTTTTCACTCTGTTGACAACGTTATAAGTAAATGACATGCAAATGATAATGGGGTATTAAAAACTGACAGAACACGAAATGAAAATAAGATATGTACATCGGTTGTACACACAGTCTGCGTCATTAAAAAGTAACTTAAAATTCATAAATGAATTTAATAAGCATTGTATTATTCACGCTGCAATTATATTATACTGTTCAAAGACTGGCATGTTCACTCTTTCGTGTCAGGCGTTACATCGTGCGATGATAAACAGCAATAATTTAACTAAATCATTAACTTATTAACCCAAGCATTTCTTTTTATTCTGCTACTATGTACATTGTTCATCGATAGAAAATGTCAGAAGTGTGCGGGCTTACGTGTTTGTACCATACGTGTTCCTTTTATTTGTTCTTGTTTTTTGCTTCGCATAAAGTAAAGATGAATTGAATACGACTGAAGGAAAAGGAAACGAGTGCGAAATGGAAACCATGTCTTTCGAAAGTAACCGCAAAAGAATTTCTAGGTGCCTCGTTGCAGGACGTGCATACTCGAAAGGAGTTTGACGTGGACATACGTCTTTTTTATGTAACAGGCACGAAGCTGTTCGTGATGCTTCAGATGACTAACAAAACGAAGGGAGAGAAGCCATATAACAATTGCTTAATTTTTCTTATATTCGAAGGAATTGCAAATTATTAATTTGAAAATAAATTGTTTTCAAATATAATGTCCAGTTTCTGGTTCATTGTGAATCTACAGTCAATCATAAAATATCGTTCATAAAATTCGATCGATAAAAGTTGATTTCTGTTCGAAAACTCGTCCTCGCAAAATTATTGCTCAGCGCAGCTGAAATTGCGAGCAGTTAGTTCGCGCAATAGGACGGTCGCAATTTTTACAAAGACATTTAAATTAAATTTTCGATCTCGGATAATTCCCATGACTGAAGCCAACGTATCACCAACGTATGTCCAACGCTTTGCAATTAATACGTACATCCACGGTGAATTCGAAAGTCTTTCACTAAACCAATCTCCGCTGGAAATAACGGAGATTGAACATTTTTTTCCTCTTGATTTTCACCCTGTCATTCATTCGTGTGACATTTGTAAATGTCAAAAAAGTACTTCAACTTTCAGCCATTTTTACGTGAACGTTACTGTACGAACGTGACTGTTGTTAAAGGGTTAAAACACTTGAAAATTGCGAAATGAACAGAGTTTTCCTTAAACAAATCGATATTTCATCAGGAACGTTGAAACCGTATATTTCCTTCGTTTAGAATTTTCCTTGAATCAGTAATACTAACGTTAATTTTCAAGTTCTAACGTTACATAACTTGGCCAATTTACACATGGAACAGTATGTAAACTCTTTACTTTCGCTTTATCCATATCTAATCTTCTCGTTGGCCGGATATTTACAAGTAAAATATGAGCGATCGATGTGCGTTAGAACGACAGGTTGAAGCCGACAGCACGGGGACTTGAGGACTAAAAAACGAAGAAGAAAAATTGAGAATAACGTAGCGCCGAGAAACGTTGAGACCGCGTGGCGTCGCGGCGGTGGCGGTAGCGGTTCGGCTGGGTAAGGGTTAGATAAAATACGTGAAGAGAACCAAAGAACGGTGGGGGGATGATGTAACGAGAAAAATGGGGCGCGCAATGAACCTCGGGACGGTATTTATTTTGTCTTGGAACGATGGTTCGCCGCAAACCTGGTAGCACAAAAGGATCGTACCACCCTGGCCTCGCCAACGATAAAGTCCACGAGAAAGGATGAGGTGAAGTATACGCGGACCATGAGTTTTCCGTTGCGGGCGGAGACTTGAAAAAGTTCTCCACCAACTTGTGTGAGCAACGGGTAGTGCGCATGTGAAACCCATGCATGCGGAAAGTTCTCTTGCCGATCCACCGAGGACCGGGCACTCTTCTTCCCGAAGGAAGAATCCCGATTCCCTACTGAAATAAATTCTCGAGAGACTTTACGTCTTTTCCGGTGGTATTCTATCGGGTTGTTCTCTTCTCCTCCCCCGTCTGCACTCACCTAAAGTTAATCAATTGAATGAATCTTACGATAGAGAATACTTCTTTTTTTTTTTAACATATTAAGTTTGTTAACATATTAAGAAATACAAACCCAGACCTTGTAATTAGTGAATGCTCAAGAAATGATAAAATGATACGTATGTGCTGTATAATCAGTGACTTAAGCAGATTTGTTTTCTTGTATTGACAGTATCAGAGACAGTGTTTATTCCACTGAGGGATTGCAAGAGTTTCGTTGTCGAAAAGAAAATATTCATATACTCTATCTGAATGAAAGTTATTACGATGGTAATTCAAAGCTCGGGAGTTTCCTATTAACATTACAACGAGGCTTTTGTTCATAATCTCGTTTCATATCCATTGAGGACTTTGATGTTCTTACACAGTTACAAGTCAATTTTGTTCTTTGATTCTATTGCTTTCTTGAAATTACCATACCTGTATTCTTGCACTATCCGCATTTCGTTCTAAATTTCGCATCAGGATTGCATCACACAGACCGTGTCGTTACAATGTTCGTCTACGTTTATAGTCGCCTCGCTGTTTCCCCATTTGCCTGCGAAATTCTATTCCGGAACGATAGAAACAAAAATCGACCGGTTGACACGCGACGTCACCCAATTACGTGATCTCGTTATAAATATTTGATCAGGGAAACGCAAACCGCTCCACAGGTTGCGTGGCAGTTACTTGACAAACGCAGTTTGTCGACCGTGTACAACCCATGTCACGACCGCGGAATGGAAACGAACGATAATTGAATTCGTGTAATCGACGTAACGCTCTAGCTTATTATGTCGGTTCCACGGGAATTTACATTACAACACCCCCCAATAAATTATCAATTACTTCTAGAGAGAAATTAACGCAACACTGTGCATAATATTAAAGATCCTCCTCGCGACTAGATGATTCGCAACCTTTTACCGAACATGACGTTAACATTCTTTCAGAAGAATTAAAAAGCGTCGTTCCCCTGACGTCAATTTTATACTTACGCCATTCGATAAAAGTGGAGATTCGATAACGAGAAACGTTCGCTCCGATGCCCGATACGAAGTGTTACGGCATAGGTAAGTGCCGCAAGTGCTAGACGGTAACTAACGTAACACGTAACGTTGGGCACTTTTTCTATCCTTAATTTTAACACATACGCTGTTTCCACACATCCACCAAATGTAAACGCAACTCGCCTTTTGACTACCCACATATCCTTTCTTCGTGCCAGAGTGTTTTCGAATAAATTCAAACAGTAAGAACGTCGCCATCGTCGTGTAGTCACTTCCAGATCCAGCACCTTCTCCTGTGTGAGGCTCTCTCTCTTTCTCTCACTCTTTTCCCAACCCTCTTCCTCCCGCGTCTATTCCCGTAGGGAAGCACAAAATGAATTGTACCCACCGTCGTCCCCGACGGAAAGAGTAATTTGATGCACAACCTCGAACTCCCGGACGATAATAAAAGGGGTAAAGTGTGCTCGGTGTCGTGTTGTATTAATTTAAGTTCAGCTACGCAGCGGCGCGGCGCGGCGCGGCGCGACGTTCGGAGGGACACCCAAAGCAATATTAAGTTAAATTACCAACAGTCCACGCTAACGGTTAGCTCAGCCCGCTACTCGCTTCCTTGAGATTAACGGAACGGACTAAGAAATAGAAAAGAAAACGGTTCGGATGGAAAAGAAGCAAGAAAGACAGCGAAAGGGAAGGAAAATTAGGAGCTGGCGGTGCACAACGAACGGAGATGGCGACCGATGCCGACGCGTGGGCTCGAAAATATTACAGAGAACTGTGCTCACTCACGGCCTTCCCTGATAACAAATAACAACCCTTCCCCTCGTATTGCTCGGTCTGCAACTACGGTTTCTCTTTAAAATTCTAAACGCCGGTTAAAACTGTTTTCGATTACAAATTTCGCTGTTGATGTCATGCACATCTGTCAACCGGGTTAACAGAAATTAAAATGTTATTACGTCTACAAAAAATAATTTAATGATACGTATACATTTATCGTGAATATAGGAATGTATAATTTTTCAAACGTTGTAAGAATTAATAAAAACTATTTGAGAGTATAAAGTGGAATATAAATCAAGTATCTGATAAATGTGAGAATCAATTATCGTGAAGATATTTGCGGAAATTAATTCGGAGATGGATTGTGGGATTTGTTTTTTAAGAAATCGTGTAGAGCGCGTAATTTCAATAGTTTTTCCGAGCAGTCGCGAGTGACTTAATAACGTCGCATCGATCCGTTCTACGCATCCGAATCTACGAATCCGAAGCGTATAATAGTAATCATAGCACATGGAAAATTGAAATAATAACAAATTAAGCATTAATGATTATGTGGCTGTGAATTAATTTTAAGTTGAGCACTACTGCTCCTCGCGGGCATCCTTAAGATAGTCAAACCGAACTGGCAGAATCATCGTTAATGTTTGTACAATTCAATCCATTCTAAGCTCACGTTTCTCTGTTAACAGAAATCCTCGGAATGGAGCTAAGAACGGTGAAGCTGTTGCTCTACTCGGCCCTAGTGGTCACCATGTGCCGGAGCGAGGAAGACTGGACAGCTCAATGCTCGCCATCTTGCAAGTGTATGTGGATCTCCGGCAAGAAGACAGCTGAATGCATCAAGCAGAATCTCACACAGATACCTGATGGCCTGTCGCCGGAAATCCAAAACTTCGACCTGACCGAGAATCGTATCACGCATCTGATGCACGACTCGTTCAGCCGAGTGGACTTGGTGAACCTGCACAAGCTGGTGCTACGAAAATGCGAGATCGAATCGATTCACACGGACGCGTTCAACGGACTAAAGCTCGTAATCGAGATCGATTTGTCCGCGAACTACATTAGAACCCTGTACCCTGGCACGTTCGAGGAAACGCAACGACTCAGGGTGTTACTATTAAACGAAAATAAACTGAAGGTGCTTGAGAACGGACTGTTTCGCGATCTAACTTATCTACAAAAAGTAACGCTATCCAATAACGAGCTTGAACGAATAGAGGAAAGGACGTTTCGTGATTTGCCGGATTTGAGGATGTTAACCTTGGACGGGAACAATTTAACCATGTTGAGGCTACAGAGCTTCGATTCGTTGCCGAAACTTGGCAGTTTGGAATTGAAGAACAATCCATGGAACTGCAATTGTCGTTTGAAGTCCTTCCGCGATTGGACAATCTGGAAAAATTTGTATACGAAACCCACCACGTGCCACCAGCCGCCCAGTCTTGCGGGAAAAATGTGGAACGAGATAAGGAGTGATGAGTTCGCCTGTAGGCCAGACATTTCCACAATCGGGCCATCGGTTAAGGTTGAAATGGGAAGGGGGAACGTGACTTTCTGGTGCAAGGCTTCCGGGATCCCGAAACCGCAGGTGTGTCTCCGCATTTAGTAAATAATTTAATCACACACGAATTAATATTACGTTGGAACTTTAGTCCTGTTCCCTTTATTCGACATAGAAACTGTTTCATTCAAATTTATTACTTGCGAGTAACAGGATTATTTCTTGTATTATATAAAAAACGAACTTCTTTATCCTTACTGCAACCATAGAAAGGATGAAATTTATTTTAAGCTCTTACGCGCGTAAAGAATATTTTTGAATAGATTCTCAATTTTTTATTGTTAGAACTCCCCTAACTAGATCTTATTCTTTACGTGACTTCAAAAGCATCGCTTTTCGTTGCACTTGGCTAAGCGTCATTCTCTACAGAATCAAAGAATTTTTACCAAGCCCAGGATTTTTAATGCGTTTATTTGAATAAAATTTCCTCTACAATATTGAAAGGGTAGAAAGGACTACTACATGTGTTCTCCGCGTGAGACCTTTTATTTTGTAGTCCAGCATGTCGGTAAACGAATGCACCTAGGGAAGGGGAAGGGAGTTAACGTGCGTTTACAGTGGATATACTTTAAAAGTATCTCTCTAGTCTGGGATCAGAGAACAATGTTGAGGTCGAGATCGTTTAGAAGCTTTCAGGCTAAGTTGCCCGAGTGCGGTGCTATCTTTTCACCGAACCTAACCATCGCCAGATTGTATACCAAATTGTCTCACTGTGGATTACCAAAGTCAACATTCTACCGGCTTTACCGCGTTCTCCTTTACAATACTTCATCGCGGTACTATTTCGTTCTACATGTTTTTTCGCTCCCTTTCACGTTTGATAGAGTTTTATCCCTTCCGGCAAACTAAAGGTATTATGTCACGTGTATATAGCCGTTTATAAGTCTTAAAACAGTTTGGCCATTGATATTAGGAATATCGAAATCTTATGCTTGAAATACTATAGACCAAGAGCCGTCAATCTTTTTTAATCATCCACCTTTTAAAAATCTCCTATTGACCTCTTCGAAGATCTCTTGATCGAACCCCACAAATTTTAGTGATTTCTTTATATGTTACAAAACAAAAAGAAAAGGCTTTTACCGTTTTTATGCATTTATTTTACATTTGTACATTTTACATGGTTTAATATACATATGTAATAACAATTTTATCATTTATCACTTTAATCATTTTACTGACTGACAATCGCGGTGATACGGATGGGCTTGATGTTTAGAGCGATTTTTAGGATAAGATTTAGTTAAAAATTAGTAAGTTTTAGTCTTAAGTCGCTTCGGAATTTCACATTCGACTTATCGACCCCCAATCGATCTCCAGTGTGTGGCTCCAGATTCACCCGCAATAGTGTAATATTGATCCCGGGGAGTCGATATCAACCACTTTGGCAGCCCCTGCTATAGACTGTGAAGAATTTTAACTCTGCGTTATGAAAAACTAATATAAAAAATGAACGAAAAAAATTAGGTCGGTCATTTCTGATTTCAGCTCACCTGGGTGTACCGCTCGAGAGTATTGAACAATGATACCAGACGTCACAACGGTGAGAAGAACTACATCTTGAGATCCAGCCACGAATGGTTAAACCTAACTATACCGGACGTGGTGCACTCCGACAAAGGCGATTACGTCTGTCTGGCGAAAAGTCCCGGCGGGAACACTGAGAAAAACGTGACCCTTATGATCGCCGGCGATGCTACAGGCGGCAGGGACAATATAATCAGCCTACCGCTCGCTCTCGGTTTAGGCGTGACCGCGTTGGTGTTTCTGTCCGTCACCGTGTTCCTTTGCGTGTGCTATTGTCGTCGCCGACGGATGAGACACGACGAGAAGAGTCTGGAGGCGGCCTCGATGGAGCATGGTTTAGGTGAACAGGAAAAGTCCCTCATCACAACCATAAATCCCGTGGTGAAGCCAGCCAGACGTTACGAGGCGCCTTCGGTGACATCGCACGGCACCGAAATGACGGAGCTGAATCGTACATTGCTGGACAACGACTCGGTCTTCGGTCAGTACACTGCCTACATTACTAAACAGTGCGTGGCCAGGTGCTAGCTACTATCCATTTGTTAGGCTCACGAACCAACGAGCGTATACGCTTGGGACCTTCTCACAGAACAGTTCACGCTCAGCTAAGGCTCGGCGGTGTCGTTTGCGTGACGCGAAAAGAGGAAATCGTACGAGTAATAGGTTTACCACCGCAAGCATTTACTCAGAACGATTGAGCCTTCTGTTTCCTTAGTTTAACTATTTTCTATATGAAATTTGCCGAGTTATATGGATAAACAAATTGATTAAATTCGTTTCCACCGAGAAATATTTCAAAATTTTGTCTAGTTTTTTATAAAGACGATTAACATTTTACATTTGAGAGATATTTAAACATTTTCTTTTATTAATACCCAGCAAGTTAGCTATGCGAAAGAATACGTGTAAATATGAACGTCCTAATTTTTTTAAATGCTGAATGTAGAAAACCGTTCACACGTTTAACGTTCCCAAGGTACGGAATTATCAAGCCGCCGATATTGACAAGGGAAGATCAATCAATGAAAACGCGAACAAAGGAATTTCGTCGATAAACGGGACACCGAGCTGTGAAAAACTGAAATCCAATTTAGATATTGTTAAAGCCGCAGCCATTAATCTTCTGATTTCCTTTCGAAAACATTTCGTTCGCCACAGTTAACGGATATCCTCGCTAATTAAAGAACGGGATAGATTAATTGAATCGTATATACGACCGAGACGTATTTAACTCTAAGACAATCGTGTCGGCCATAGCGTTGGACGAGACACGCGGCAGATAAATGAGGCGCCATCGATCCCGGTTTAACAAGTATCGACCAAGACTGTTGCAAGATTAATGAGAGTATGCAACGCGTAATGATACGGAGGAGGGAGAGAGGCCAGCGAGAGAGGCATTCGTCATTTGCGTCTGCATGGTCGTCGAAGCGGTTTTTCTGCGCGGACAAGCTCGTTTTCCGTAAAGAAAACACAACGCCGCCGTACTTAATGCGCAGCGCAGTGCAGAGGAAATGCCTATTTTCAACGGCGGCGCGGCGCGGCGCGGCGCGTTAATTAAATCTGACGTGTCTGCAATGTCTCACGCAGACGAATCGCACATCGGGAAACGATTATTATTATTTTGATAGAAATTGTAAATACGTGATTGCTTTCACACAGAACACTGTAAATTATGTGTAGTCGAAGGTCTTCGGGTAGTATTTGTACTTGAGACAGCTTGATCGTATGTAGTGCGATTGGGAACAGTACGAACAGTTAGTGAACGAAGGCTTCTTATAGTTATTAGATGTGCGATACCCGATTAAGAGAGTCAGAGTATTTTTGTCCTTTAGCATCGATGATTATCGAGGCGAATTTATTAGAATCATTGTATATAAACTTCTCGTAACAAGCAACGAAGACAACGGTTAAAAAGGCGATCAACAAGAAAGACAAGGTAGCTATGCAGGCGCATATTGTGTGTAATTCAATGCGAACAAAAGGTATTAACTCTTTAGCTACGGGCGGGTTCTCCGCCGCGGTACTCCCGCTGACGATCGCTCCGTACCGCGGCGGAGAACCCAAGTGCATGTCCAGAGTGAGATACTTATGTAAAACGGTTGTTCGTTATATCATATAATACCTGAGTGGCATCTTTTGGCGGGCCGCTATAGTGGCCCGTAGTAGCGAAAGAGTTAATGCAGAATACATATTTTGCATTAGACGTTCTAATCAGGATCTAAAAGACGGCTTTTATCAATCCATATTTGAAAAGAAAAAAGATAATAAAATAAGTACTGCATCGCAACGGTACTTTTTGCAACCATTGTACTCAGAGCGTCAGCGAGAAAAAGATTGTTAAACCGTCAGAGTGCAAACGGATTATTCGCTCTTCGATGAGGACAGGGAACAGTAGAAGGGAGCAAACGCTCATGACTGTGTACGTACAGAGTGGTTAATAAAACAATAATGTAGAAAAAGTGCGCGTTGTACGGCGCTCGCCTGTATTTCACAAACAGAGAATGATAATCATTACGAGGCGCTCTTCTCTAATTTAGCAGACCGCCATTTTTATCGAAAGCAGGTACAGACGATTCTTTCCCGTAGATACTACACGCGGATACTAACTTTCTGTGACTCAGCCCCTCTTTGCAAAATTTCAAAAATAGTAGTTGAAATTGTCAAGGATCTCAACAGGTACCTTTCGCATCTCGATCACCTCTTTGTACAGACGGTTACCGCTTTTCCGCACGTACATACGCTACCAGAAATTAATAACTATCTTGCTCTGTTTCTGCCCTATTTTCTTCTTATGCCGGCTTATATCAAATAAGGAGTCAAATGACGTTCGTGAGAAGAAACGCTATTTGACCATTTGATCAGTTTCGCTTGTTTTCCTTATCCAAATGAATCTAGCACTACGTTATTGAGTTCTGGTTCTCGTCATTCGAATCAAAGAAAAATGTGTTGAAAACATTAATCGCATGTTTAATCCTGTTGATCTCTTTGCTATAACCACCACGAAGTTAGAATCGAACCCCGCGGCAACTAAGATTCCGAGAACAAAATCATTGACAGGCGATCGACGTAGACACGATAAAAGGCAAGTGCGCTGGTATCGACCCGCATCTCGTTTTCCCGACAGATTTGCGGAAGCAGAAAAGTCGCGTCGCGAACTACCATTTAAATTATTGCTCTGCGTCAGACTCACGCGAAACACGTACGAAGTCACGGCCCATTTCTCTCCAAATGGAAACTATCTGTGAGTGCTATCGATTTACGTGTCTTCACGATATAAGCCGCGACAGGTCTTCTGTATTATGTAATACTCTTGTTCTGATACCGCTACGCGATGTCTGACGCAGTTTCTTTCTATCGCGAGAAGAGGGTGCCAGGCCTGAATATTTCTATCATTACGACCAGGCGCGAGCTTGGCATTTCAGCCACGTGAAAATGTAAAAGGTCAGCGATGTTAGAGATCGGTACGAATGATGCATCTCCTGGAATTGCTGACAAAGAACAGAAAAGTTCGATCTTTCGTGAAATTCATAGATTGGAACATTTAAGATGCTGATGCTGGATTATCCTTTGTGAACGATTTGAGAAAAATAGAATAAACTCCCCGTGCATCCATGTTCACATCCGACTCGACATATCCGTGTCACTACTCATTCAAACTACCCTTTAACAGGAATCCGATAAGACACTATTTTTGTAGAAGTTACATACACAGGAAGCGTTACCATTAAATTAACATTGAAACACCCAATCGTGAGAAGTGGACCAACATTACTATTATCATTTTATTATTATTATTATTATTTAATTGTCGTTATCGCGCCTTTCACTTTTCTTTCTTAACGTTCGTCCCTCTTTTTTGTTTATGTTCTGGCAGCTGACGGTATCGGTGGGGGTGTCGGAGGCGGAGTGATCGGCGGCGTCGGCGACGACGAGAGGGAAGAACGAACGACACTGGACCTCGAGCCCGGCACCGGCACCCTGTGCCGTGCTGGAACCGGCAGCTATCGCCAGTATCCGCCGGATCTGTTGGCGTTCTCCGGCGGACGGGGCGCGTCGCCAACTAGCCAAGCGTCTACAGCGCCGGACAACACTCGTCTGCCGAGCCAACACGTGACGTCCACCGCTGCTACTTACGGTTCGCCGTCGAGCCAATATCCGGCCGCCTTCAAGACTCTGCCGCACAACCGAAGCGTCACCCCTTACGGGAGCTCCACGATAGCGCCTGTGATGCCAAGACACGGATACGTGACCATACCGAGGAGACCGAGAGCACCAAGCTGGAGCAGCGGGCCACCTACATCACCTACGGATGGATTGGAACCAGTTTACGACAACCTTGGATTAAGGACTACCGCGGATGGCAGTTCGGTACTATCATTGAACAAGAGTCCCGAGCCATTGTCTTCGATGAGAAATCGACCCCTACCTGGGACACCTAATTCGCATTACGGTACTATACAACGGAGCACACCGAACATACTGACGAGCAGTCCACTCGATAGAGCTGCGCCGGAAGGCGCGGCCGAATGGCCGACGAAACTCGCCGACGAATCAACGGACAGTAATATTCTCCTTGGACAACAGCAACAACAATCGGGTGGCAGTAACACGCTCGGAAGGAAGGTGCCTCCCAGGCCACCGCCAAAACCTAAGAAGAAGTCGGCGAACGGACCATTGTACGAAGACGAGGGCGAGGATGGTACGGAGGTATGATCGACGTACATCGGTCGGCGAAGATGAGGCCGGGAGGTCGTGGCAGTGGTGAGCACAAGGAACGCTTGACCGACGCCACAATAAACCGGTAGTGCCTTTCAAGAAGAGACGACCTAAACCGCGGCGTCCGCGGGCCGATGTTCGGTTTGAGCGCGTAAGTTTGTGCCGACGAATGAACGTACCGGAGCTCCGACGTCCGGTGGACACAGATACGAATGGTGAACCGCTGACTCAAACCGGAAAACAACGACGAAAGTTTCTCGGACGAGACGCCTATCGTCGGTCACATTTTTTTTATCGTCGTGTTTTCCCTTCCCCTTTTCTCTCCTCTCTCTCTCTTTTTATCTACAGTTTTATGTATTTTTTTTTTAATTTATTTTGGCTCGCAATGTATGACCTCGTGATGACGAACACATGAACTCTTTCTGTGACCCGCAACATCGACACACGATTCTTCACGGTGAACTTTTGGCACGCACACGACTTTCGTGCACGTAGGTGAAAATAGACGATGTACTTTCGAATCGTTTCGCGAATAATCATCCATTGAGGCAGGTGTGCCCTAAGGTACTTCTATCTTGTCTCCATTTATACTATAAGACTAATAATGTACGATACAAAGTTTGTCGTTGATATCACAGTGAATAAGACACATAAGACAACTTAAGACAGTTTGACCTCTTTTGTTGGTAAGAAGGCATAGTGCACAATGTAAACAATACGTATATGTCTTAATATAATAACTGTTTTTCTAACAACTAAAACTAAATGCATTATTACGTTATCTTCCTTCGAACGTACCCTAAAATTGAGAACTGTTTTTGGATAATAGATTTGCAGTGTGCATTAGACCTTTCAAGTTCAGAGAGATAAATCTCGATTAATCGCTGGACGTAACGAACAATATGAAAGTTTCGTACTTGACTTCAATCCTAACGAATAAACTGTTGGACACTGTGGGTTCACAGAAGATCATAGACAATTTCATGTAAAATAGAAAGTAACAAAACGTTAGCATTAAAAATAACGTATCTTCCAGAACGTTTATCTTATTTTTCGACATGTATGTCTAAAGAGAATCGCGTTCGAACCGCAGCGCGGCCGTCGTAGATACGATGTAATGTATATTATTTTAAAAGACTAATCTTTCGTAAAATGATCAATGACGATCAGTAGTATACACTTTTACTCCATTCATTTATTTTTTTATTTTTTATTTAATCTTTTATATGCACCTTTATGCAGGACGGAAGATCTATTCTATACGATAGCTTACTGTCAATATATTTTTTATTCAAAATATGCAAAGCAGTGCTTTAGTTTTGTCCCTTTTTATATCGATAGGTTTAGAGTGATGTTTCTTTCTTCTTTGGCTAAGTGTTATACGTCAGTACTCGATGTAATGACATCAATTGGAATTAAACATAAACTTATCGCGTTTAAGTAAAAAGGATAAACATATTTAAATACCGAGGATGTTATATAGTAACTGTTTCTGATAATAACGAAGTTAACAAAGCTGCGTACACATAAATCTTCCGATTACATTTAATGGTAAAAAAAAAAAAAGGAAGATGTTCTAGTGCGAGGTCGTAAATCGGTATACAAGGAAGTCGGCTTCTGGAATTGGGAATTTCTCAAGGATCATGTAACGTGGTTTAAGCAGTTAAAACGTTACCGGCGACCAAACACATAATTTTATTCATGAAATATTTTAATATTCGCGCAATGCCATGCTACGTGTCCTTCGTTTTGACGAAGCGGATCTCACAACAGCGTATATATTGTAAAAAGAATCATGGTACGATTTGTACATACGGTGTATCTATATTATACATTATATGTAAGAAATAGCTGATCTGTCTTCTGTTTAGTCGAAACAGTGCAAGGTGTGATTCTGCGATTGTTCCGTACGGCGGAAAAGGAATTACCTGATGATTAACAAGGAAAGGGGACGTCTATCTTCGAATTAGGTGTACGACAACGTGGGGAAGTTAATATTAAAAATACTACTGTATACGTAACATTTGATGATCTGCTTGGGCAGGCTCACAATTGAAAAGTCTCTGTACATTACATGTACTTCAAGTAATTTAATTCTATCACATAATTGGAATAAATATTAACGACGTTTCAAACAAATTATTGTTGTTAGATTGTGAGTGATTATGCAAATTCATATTATCGGTATTTTCGTATAATGCACAAAGCCAATTCGTCTAATTTATGAATGAAAAACCGAGAATAAAGTGAATCAGTTCACAAAATAGCATTCTACGTTTTAGTAAAAAAATTTGTTGTATTTTTGAAATTTTTAAGTTTAAATCAATAGAATCGAGATCGTAAGCAATCTACGAATTGACAAATCGAGCTTAATGATTCTTGTACCTAGAGAATTGCAAAAAGAAAGAGTGACGCAACCACATCGATCGCTCGTAAGTTTTACTTTAACTTTACGTATTTAAAACAAAAATAATCATCTGACTGAAGCTTTTAATTGTTTTGTAAGAAGTAATCGCAAATTTTCGAGAAAACCTTCACGACTACCTTCCAATTAACCATCACTCGCGCATCTTACCGACTCAATTTACCGTTTAGTGTTACTCGGTACGAAAACGCGAAAGTTTTTTATACCTTCGATACGTTTCATCCGAAACTTAACGTTGTGCGTATGAGCTTAGCAGGGGATTTTGGAATTAATCGTTCATGCAACTTGTTGCGAATACCGTTACCGTATAGTTCAGCCGAAGGATTCCTCTCGACGCGCGACGCGAGTTTGAAGGTTATTAGCAGACAACAATTTATCGCTTATCCAAATTAATAGAATACAAACCTACATTCCCGCCTCCTATCCATATAAGATCATATCTCGACTTACCCACGTAACTTAATCGCGTTCAACGGATAATTCAACACGATTGTAACTCGGATATCGATGCAACAATATTACATTTCATATTATCACCTATTACGTTAGTCTCATATGATCCTAGTTTTTATCTTAAAAATTGTGTAACCAATTTGTGAATTAATTATAGTATGTCATTTGTATCTGTAATTATTCATAATTATAAATATATTTTGTTACACTTGGCTTTCACTTGAGGAAACGCTTAACATTCTAGTATAATATTAATATACTTCGAAGCTGATTTTTCTTTTTTTATTAACAACTGAAAATTGGTTTAGTTCAATTGAAATGTTAATTACGATTAACAACATTTTCAAATGCTAAATAAAAAGAAAAATACTATTCTTACTGATTTCAATTTTTGAAGCTGATTTTCACAAGAATTTCACAATACCATATAAAACTAAAACTTTCCTTATATTTTTATATAAAAAGATTTTGTACGAGATTAATAGTATAATACAGGAGAATCTAAATTGTAATGTTGTTTTGCATAAATGTTTACGCAACTTACGATCGTGTTAGACACTCTGCCGAAATACAATGTTATTGCATCGATTTTCCAGTTACAATCATAATAAATTATCCGTGAAATACGATTATATTGCACAAGTCCGCCGAGATACGATTTTACGAATAGGACGTTTCGATATGTTGATTTCAGTTCTTTATACGAAGGATTCTGCTCCCCTTTGACCGGGATTTGCTTTGAACCGTTTTACCTTCAATTTGCTTAGAAAAGGTAATACCAATTATTTCATGAAAAATAATTTATGCAGATCGATCGATCGTCTGCTCGTTAAAAGAATTATTGATTCAACGTTCGTTCGTAAAGAACGATGAGAAAGGTTTTTAAATCTTACGGTCTTAATTTAATCTTTTCGTTGTTACATAAATAATAATATTCTTTATCCGACGTTTCATATCGTGAATTACTCAAACAATCATTTTATACACTACCACTGTATTACAGCCATGCGCAATTCATTTCAATATTTGAATGACAATGACCTATCAGTGGCGACAAGGTATCTTCCCCGTGAATCGTAATTCGCCTAAACAGTATTACACAATGAATCTGAAAACGATAATGCGATGTGAGTGGGACGACTCGGAGAAAAATTGTTGCGCGATTGTGTAACTTCACTTTTCCGGTTGTTTTCACAAGACTAGTGCATGTATTTATAAAAGGAGGTAATAAAAAAATTGCTATCAACGGATATCGGCATTGATAGTTTTATTCTATTTCGAATTTAAATAAGCACAATAAAAGTTCCAACATTCGGAAATATAACTAATGGTAAAAATGACCAATGGGTCTTCTGCAGTTTTCATAAAAAGAACACAAGAGCTTCGATTGGCCCACAGCCGAAAGTCAGGGTTGCACGATCGACGCACAAATTGTTTTAAGCGGCCTAGCAGAGTCGCGGCTCGTCCGATCCAATAGTCGTGCCGCGCCCTGTAAATACACATGAAACTTTAGTTGCACGCTAATTCACAACGTGGTTTATTGTATAAACGTTAGCACGTTCGAAGTAAAGCGCGACACGACCGGCTGGTACGGCGCCACGAGTATATTTTTGTAATTTTGTATTTTGAAGAGTTCTCCGGCCAATCAGTCGATCCCGCCAATCATCGCCGCGGCGAAGATACACTCGTCCCTGTTGCAAGGAATTAAACTGAATTCAAGCTATTCGTACACCTGCTAGCGAATCAAATCGAGTGAGATGAAATACGGCGCAACAGTTATACATGTGTTTCTAAAGGGCCATCTCTTCAATTAATTTCTCGACGAGCGTTTACCCGGCTGTCCACGTCGATTTCTACATTCACATTGACGCTTCTTCACTATAATTCCTGGGATTATGATTTTATTTAGAGTAGAATGCAGATAAATGAAAATTCAAGAGGTTCGCGTGCCTCTTATTGTTAGAGCATGTACTACTGCAAGCAACTTCCATACACGTCACACGAGTATAGACAAAATCGTAAATAGAGAGAGAGAGAGAGAGAGAGAGAGAGAGAGAGATACAGTTTATCTATTTACATATTACCTGTTTCTCTTAGCACAGGATTGGCCACGATCTTTTTCTTTCAAATTCCTTGTTTCAAATCATTTTGAATACTAGCAAATGAGAAAAGGGACAGTGTTGTAATTAATACCGTGCTGTAAGAGAAAGATAGTATATGTATAACTAAACATTTCTATCCTGTGTACATCTTTAAAAGCACTTGAAAAGCAAGTAGTACATGCCCTAATTCTTGTAAACCTAACTTCTCGTTCAAAATTTAGGAGAAAGTTAGAGGATTTTATGTAATAACTTCTGTACGATACGGCAGTACGGTATGTTATATTATTTAGAACAATTATTTGAAATCTGACTGATGAGATCAAATAATTCTTTCCTAAAGTCCTAAAGAACAAGATACAGATTAGAAAGGACGTTTTTACCCACCAGCAAGATTTGTTTCACATTCGACACATTCCCGTGAACGTCATCTCCCAAGCTCGGTTGCTTCCATTTAGTGAATAGCGGCACGAACATACACGAATGAAAATAGAACATGCAGAATCCCCACAATTATAGGGTAGGGGGGTCAGTCGTGTACTACTTGTATGTCCTCTGTAGTATTAAGTAGCTGCGTCGTGTTTACCAGAGAATGCACATGACAAACCAGCACCAGTCGGTGTGCAATTATTATCGCGAAGATACTTTGCACGCTTGTGGTGTTAAGCTGTTCGACGTTTTAATGAAACCGTCCTTTTTGACAGCGAAACGTTGCAATAACACACAATTTACAACGGGTACTCGGCAAGCAGATCGTTTTCGCAGTCGATTAAAACGCCTAGAGAACGCATCGATCCTTCGTCAACGTCTTGTCCCTTAATGACTCTGCGTATCTACCTGTCAGGTATATATCCGCTTGAAGTCGTTACTCCAGAACGGAAATTAAATTCCGAGTAGATGAAAAAGCGATAGCGGAAAAACGGAGGTCGATGTCCGTGTAATTGCAAACACCGGTTACACTGGTGTTGGTCATGTCTCGATTTGGCATTTTTAACGAGGAACACGCGCTTCGAGTTTGAACGAACAAACGACTCGCGTCATAGGTGAGGACGCTAATGGAGAATAATATTGAATGGATAATGTCCAAGCATTTATGACCAGTTCTTCTTATTGAATCGTGAAATTATCGAATCGACGATTGGCAAGTGAACGCGCGAAACATAATTGGGTCAAGGGATGACACGTTGTAAGTTCTTAGAAATCACGTTGCAAATCTCTAATATGTCATTATCTTAATATACACTAAAGTGCAAGGCTGAATCAACATCCTCTATCCTGTTTTTATATGTCGGAGCACACGACTCGAGTTCTTTTGAGTACTTAGCTAGATACGTTAGAGTAGAGAAATTTAATGAGTAGAGAACATTTCGAAGAAATAGGAATCATGAGAAAGACGGTAAAGGTCGCTTTTCTCAACGCTCTCATCGTGGTTTGTAATGAAAACTCCAGCATCCAATTATGACCATTTATATAAGATTAGTATGTACGTGCTGAAAATTTTATCGAAATCGGTTATCGCTGCTACGAGCTAATCAGGTAAAATGGTGATAAACGCAATTAAATACGATTTTTAGCCTGAAATCTACATGCTTCGATGTTTGACGCTTTTTTCGATTTCGATACAAGGATTTCCATAGAATTTTCAACATGCACTAATCTCATATGAATGGTCAAAATGGTTTTGTTCAAATTTTCATTGCAAGCCCAAACAAAAATGTTGAAAAAGCGACTTCCACATTTGTCCTCACGATTTCTACCAATTTCAATTCTTCCGGAAATTCTCTCTACATATCATTTAGCAAGCTAATGTACCTAATTACTAAAAAAAACTCGAGTCGTTTGATCTGATTTTAAAAACTTATCCAGTTCCGAAGCATGTTGGTTCTATTTTACTGTTTAAAAGCAAATAAAAATCGACCAGTCAGTTGTACTTAAACATTTTCAGTTCTACGCAGACAATAGCACAGTAATTTTTTCGCAATTGTGCTTTAGTCATAATAACTTATAGATTATAATATCCTTAGTTTCGTCATTGTGATGTTAGAATAAATTCTTCATCTGTCAAAGTACCGTCCAGTACACCGATCCGATCGTAATCGTTTGAAATTTAACAAGATTGACCGCTGCCAACAGTTTTCATAAAGAATCATGATTCGATTACTTTTATGAAAAGTTTTGATATCTGTCATAATCGATTAGAGTACTTCTTTAAATACATATTGTTAAAAACAAACAAAATAATAAATGGAAAGCATAAGAGAAACGTCTTTATACAGCGTAATAAAATGTTTTCAGAGCTGATAGTTTGTTATTTAATCAAGATTGTGTTCGCATAGTGAATTTTAATTATATATTTCTGTCTGTGAAAATTGAAATTTAATTATCTCGCTGTATTTATTTTATAATTATTTAATGGAGAAACATCATTAAACGAAACGAATGATACTTATTTAATACGTTCAAGAGAGAGCACTAATAATATTTTTAATTACATACGTACATTCTATCGTTCTGGAGCGCATTCTTTCTCACTCATTTGCTTCTTTCACAAATATAATAGATATTGTCAGAGTACAGAAACCTGACGCAATTCATTAAGATTACATAATTAATTCTCTTTCTGAAGTAAGAGATAAAATGTTGATCCGCTGCACAAAAATTTTTAAAAATATGCATACAAAATTAGAATGTCAAAGCTTATTTTTTTTTGTCGAATTTCAACGTCAAAGAAATTGTATTCTTAACAGAAAAATAAAATGATTTAACAAATGGCCAACGTTATTATGAAAATAAAAAAATGTACTAACTGCGAACTTAAATTAGTTATATTATATTTCGCAAAAACGAGCGAATAACTATACTTTAACATAACACGTTCACTGCCATTATCGAAACGTTTCATCGGATTTCATAGGATAAAAAATTGATGGGAGAATAAAAATTAATTCATGTTCATTATTACCGATAGGCATGCCAGCAGAAGTATAATACAGTTTAAAAGGACGCGTAGACACGAGTGAAAACTACGAATAGACTTCATCGCGAAAGATTACACGACGCGATAAAATTTTGGCGTAAGCTGGGATTGTATGGACTATAAGCTGTAGAGCTTTAAAAAGGTTTATTCGGCTTGTCTCCATTGTCGCACAATGGTAACATCTGGCTCATCCTACGTTATACGTATTATAAAAGATGTACCGATAAAGTCTTCTGAAATCATGAACCTTGGAGGCAGTATGAAAATACTTAATTCTAATTTGTAAGAGAGAGAGATTGTGCATTCTCGATCGATCGCTCGGACTGTATCCTAATCGTCGTTGAAACTGGCTAATTTACTCGCAACATCATTACCTGTATCATATAATATATAGACAAGAACTTTCTGTATGTATATTGTAAAACTGTGAACAACGTACTGTGCGAAGCATGTTCCTGGTGAAGAGTATGTATGTACGTGTAGTCAGGACGCTATATCCTGTGGATTCAGCTGCGTCCAAATTTCTCTCATTTGATTAGAGCGTACGTTCTATGGAGGTTCTATGGGGCCGAGTCATGAATAAATGACAATGTCATTAACATATTTTCGTATCTCGTGCAGCACTCCGTTGTACAGGATAAAGATGCTACTTGAAGCGTTTTTATCGCATGAATAAAGATTATTATACATATAAATGTAAAGGAAACTGTTTGCGTGTCAGGATAGATATGTATGAAACTCCGTAGGGGGAAAATATACCGATCAGATTTTTTCTTTTAATTTTAGATTCTAGATGGCATAGGAACGTTAAGGCTAGATAATGGAGCGAGATGAAAATCTTTGCGAACGTTGAACATTTTGCCTTTTTCCTTTCTGCTTTATTAAATTTATTGCCAGTGTAATTATTAACATTCTAGTTATTATTACTATTATTACTCCCAATAATATTAGTATTGTTATCATTTAATATTCCTGTCTAATTGCTGGATTTAGTATCGTTATGTTGCGTTGTTATTATTATTATTATTATTATTATTATTATTATTATTATTATTGTGATCATAATTAATAATGCAGGAAGTTTTTAGATATTATGAAAAATTATACTTGCCTTCTAATAGTTCCAGTTCTGCATAACATTTCGGTCAATCATAATTTATATACCATTCAATGTACTATCATTGTAAATACTATACATATTTTATAAATAAAATATTTAGCGTAACCGTAATGTTAAGAGAATGTACTGAAAGCACCAGTCTGTACACTCCGACTACAATGATTAAATTTTAATAAATATCTCCCAATCCCATCACTGTGTCATCATTGTCAGGTGACTTTTTGAGGTAATTCCAAACATGAGAACGCATTCTATCTTGATTCTCTAGGAAACAACAACAGAGTCGAATGGTGTAAACCTATAATTTCAGCCAATTTTGTGGATAACACGACCCATAAAATTGGCCAAAAGTATGGGTTTACGGGACTACACTCTTCGTCCTCATGTACGATGATTTTTAGGTTATCAGTAATTATGATTTAATCAGAATATGCTGATAGTTAATAATATGTTATACGTTGCCAAGTTTATTGTTCCAATTAACTATGCTAATCGATTTTGTGCCAATATTCAACTTTTCAAAATATATATTTATAAACTATTATTAAAATTTTGTATATTATTTTGTCATTTGAAGTACCCTTAGAGCATATACTACATGGAGGAAGCACGAAGCACGTCTAGTGAAAATTGAAAAAGTGTAGACAACGGTGTGAGAGAGAGAGAGTAATAGTTTTGGGTACTCCTTCTCTCTGTCTAACAGTAGAGATAGAGGGGGAAGTCTCTGCCCCTTATCCTAAACGGCGCGAAATCATGTGCATACACGAGAGAGAGAGGTAGTACCCAAACCATTATCTCTCTCTCTCTCTCTCTCACCGTTGTCTACACTTTTTCCTTAGGCGTGCTTCCTCCATGTAGTATATGTTCTAAGGAAGTACCATTTGATAAAATCGTTGGACTAAGAACTATCTTAAAAAAAGAATATGAAACGAGATGAAATTATTGAAGGTTTAGAGTTTAGAGGATTAATAAAGCAAAGTATGAGGGTAAGTTGTTATTGTTTTTAATGCACTTTTATTGTCAAAATAGTTATAGCATTTTCACAGTCATCATTACAAATATAAAGGATCAATTTTTAATTGCAACAGACTTTAATAGTCTCTCTTCTTTAGTCACTCTCTTCAGCTTTAATAACGCTTCTTCGCCGTACTTCGTCACTAATTCCTCTACAAATTCGTCCTTCAACCTTTTCAAACATCTGAAACACAAATTAGTTGCAAAGATGAAAACAAATAGCGAGTGCATGTCCCTTTCTTTTTTATTACCTCCTATACATTGAATCGGTTCTGAACTTCCCGATGTCGAGACTGGGAGCGTGAGGGCGGTGGATAATGAACGTATCCGGTAAGACAATGTACCTATGTAAATCTCCAATTTATGGCATTGCGCTATAGTGTTCGCAGTGCTGTGAAATCACTTGACAATATTAATTATAAAACGTCTCTTACTTGTAACCAAGCACCGTCAGATGCGTCAAGTAGGAAACCTTGTTCCAACCGAAACCAATAAATCGGGTATCGTATCGGGGTGCAAGTCTTGAGACCACGATGTACGGTTCGAAATCTGGTTCCCAGGAAACCTGTAGCATTGTTTAGTTTAACACTAAATCTACCGACAGTTATTGTACACTAATATGTTACACAATATGACAAAGCAAATTCCGTTGCATGGTAGATTCAGTGTTAAGCAAGCAAGCAAGACATGCGAAAAACGAATTCGCATACCTCATACGGTTCCATCGTGTTCCGCCAATAACTATAATTCGTAGCAGCGTGACCCTGGGTCCAAACATGATATCGGAAAGTGTACAAAACGCCACGTTTTAAGAACTTTAGAAGTTCGTCCTTGTTAGCGGGAAAGGTAAACCTGTAATATATCACGTATGCATCGCATCCTTCTTTGGTTTATTTTTAATAGTGAAATACCTATAACGTTCCGTTTCAAACGCCGGTACGATCAAAGCTACTTTGTCCGACTCGCTAATATTTAATTTAACGATGTAACTCATAAGAGTTCCGTGCAATCCGTACTGCGGCAGAAAATCAACATCCAGTTGAAAGATGTACGCGGTCGATATATACGACATCGCGACATTGCGTAAATAATTAATTGGGTAGAGATCCTGAATGCAAACAATTCTAAATAGTCTTCTGAATTTTTTTTACACGAATCTCCAAGCTTAACGTACCCCATCTTTATACACAACATGGTACGCGATGTTTCTCCTATTTCGCAATTCGATCGAACCACGGACGAATTCGAGAAAGTTCTGTACCTCGGCATCGGTAAGATAAAGCGCGACGCTTATAGTTCCAGACCAGTGTTTCGATAAGTCTTCTAGTAACGGTATTCTTTCCACGCTACACTGAGTTACTAAGGCAACGTCAGTCGGAGCGTACACGTTGTACTCGTACTCGAGGACAAACGGATGAGTGCGATACAACGTGCTCGCGCCTCTCGTGAACTCATGACACGAACTCGATTCGTTGTACTAAAAATTGGAAATAGCAATTTTATACATGTATTGTATACGAGATAGAGCTATACTTGCCATTAATGGCATTAAACCATGCGATGCAAACTTAATACAGGAAGACAAGAAAAGCTTTTATTCATCTTCATAAAACAAAACTTACTTGCGAGACAATTTCGTGTTTATCACAACCAAATAAGCGTCTACGTAACAAATTTCCGTCCATTTCGAGGAATACTTTGTGCAATTTACGAAATTCATTAATATATTTGTTATATACATCTTGCTTTCGAGGAGAATTCCAATGGACAATCTATAAGAAACCCGACTCAATGCAGACTATCTAACTGTTGTAGGTGATTACGACTTGAGAAGAAAAATGGTACGTACACTTATTTGGCTAGTTTCGCGATAACATCGATCGCTGATTGTGTGGTCGCTCAACTGAATGTTCCACGTACAATCTATTTTATATATAATGAAAGGATGCTCTTTGATGACTGCGTTTATTATATCCTGATCGGCTAAACTAGTTTCCGGTATGTGGACCAGCACACGCTTGGTAACAGCCTCCCACAGACTCATAAATTTTCTGTCACGGAGTTGTTGCAAGTGCATTAGCATCACGCCGGTGTTAAAGCCACGACCGAGTGCCGGCCATGGCTGTTGACCGTAAGACAATGCCTTTATGTACCAATGGCTCTGATTCTCCGTCAAGCCCAGCGCCTGATCGTTCGCGAACTTCTCGAACGTACGCCAGAGCAAACTAACGTCGTTCAACACGGTCACATCCGTGTCGAATACAAGCACTTTATCCCGTTCCCGCATAGCATCCGGCAGAATTAATTTCAGAAGACCGTAAACGCCGGAGTAATGTTTGTTCGGTATCCAGGACACCTTTGGCACCCATCTCTCAGCTTCGTAGTAAGTTAAATTCACTGGAACGATCAGAGACGAGCAACGTTCAAGTTACTCTAGAGAAAAAAATTGTGCATACGACAATCAAACAGTTTCTCGACGATATATGCTTCAAAGTTTTCACTAGTAGCGTATGTCTGTTCATCTATCAGATTGTAAATTCTAACATCAAATCTTGATTAATTTAATTGACATTTTTTATTTCTTGACTCTCGTTATGCAATGAAAAAACTAGATTGAATTTTATTTCATAATTATGTCGAGTCAATTAATTGAGTATATGGTATACATAATTTGTATTTATATTTTGAAGAAACAGATGAATATATTAGTCTCGGTTGCATCTGTCACTAACCATGTGGTAAATCCCATGTTCGAAATATAGTTGTCAGAGCCCTCTTTGCAATTTCATCGACGAGTAAGTGAAAATGCAAAGGTTTAGTGCGATAGAACAAAACTGATTTAACTACTGTCACCAGGGCGAGCGTTGAATTATATCCGGCGCATACCATTGCAATGTGTACGGTCTCGCATTTTACCTTAAAGCAAATGTGTAATTCTCAATTTTCCAATATTTAACTTTCTATGAACAAAATGTTTTTTTTTTTCTAACAATTCATTCTTATTACATAATCATACCTTATACGCACATAACATTCCTAACAAACTACAATGAATTTTTTACCTCTTTACGGCTATTTTCTAAATGAAACTTTTCTAGAGTGGGCTGTTCCACCTGTAAACTTGATTTCTTTATCGATGAACCCAATTTCTCGCTAACTTTCAATGAACCGATTTCAGTGGAAGGAACTACAATAACACAACATATCAGTACCAAGGAGCAATATAAAAGAAAAAACGCTATTATTACCATTTAAGACTAAATAGAAGTAAAAAACTGCCGACGGTATTAAAATGCCGAGTAAACATCCTAGCCATGATCGAGCCATTGCAATCTGACAGACATATTTCCTAATTCGGAAAATGATTAATAAATAGATTTTATCGTAATTGTAACGCTAGGAGCAAAATCTATAAATAAAAGTTCGAATTAATAGAGCAATCAAATAATTAACACATTCATATTCTACAATAATAATTGAATATTCGTACGTAAAAATAATTCCAAATGCGTTATGTAAAAAATCAGGCTGTGTTTAGAAAAAATGTATCATTAATGTCCGTATCATTACACTACGGAGTAAAATATATTTAAAGACTTTAAAATAATACTGTATACTCTAAATATTCGATTTGATAAGTGCTCAACACTTCCGATGCAGAATAGCAACAAAAGAGATAGGTTAATAGAATTCGCGCAATTAAAATCCATTTTGCGGAAACAAGAACACTATCATTTAAATTTACAACATACCTACAAATCAGTGTTGACGAATACGTACCACCTGACTTCTTTCGACAACTGTCATTCACTTAAATCCACTACTCCCACTACTCTGGGCATACTGATTCAAATGCTATCAGTTCTATACAACATGAATTTACACACGCGAAACACCACAAAAACGGTGTTCGGTTTTACTTCAGTGAATCACTGTTATAACACGGAATATTTGGCGTGAATCAAGTAGATTCGCGTAATTACTTATGAGCAACGACGCAACAACACGCATCTTAAACTGTCTTAAACACCCGAAAGAGGAAGTTTAATATAAATAGTTCAATCACTGAATAACGTAATGGTAGAATCGCACTCTCTGTTCCAGTAACGCAGCGTCATATAACGGAAAGTCGCCGACTTTAAGTCGGTAACTCGCTTAGAGCATATACTACATGGAGGAAGCACGCCTAAGGAAAAAGTGTAGACAACGGTGAGAGAGATGATGGTTTGGGTACTACCTCTCTCTCTCGCGTACACACATGATTTCGCGCCGTTTAGGATAAGGGGCAGAGACTTCCTCCTCTATCTCTACTGTTAGACAGAGAGAAGGAGTACCCAAAACTATTACTCTCTCTCTCTAGAGCAATCAAATAATTAACACATTCATATTCTACAATAATAATTGAATATTCGTACGTAAAAATAATTCCAAATGCGTTATGTAAAAAATCAGGCTGTGTTTAGAAAAAATGTATCATTAATGTCCGTATCATTACACTACGGAGTAAAATATATTTAAAGACTTTAAAATAATACTGTATACTCTAAATATTCGATTTGATAAGTGCTCAACACTTCCGATGCAGAATAGCAACAAAAGAGATAGGTTAATAGAATTCGCGCAATTAAAATCCATTTTGCGGAAACAAGAACACTATCATTTAAATTTACAACATACCTACAAATCAGTGTTGACGAATACGTACCACCTGACTTCTTTCGACAACTGTCATTCACTTAAATCCACTACTCCCACTACTCTGGGCATACTGATTCAAATGCTATCAGTTCTATACAACATGAATTTACACACGCGAAACACCACAAAAACGGTGTTCGGTTTTACTTCAGTGAATCACTGTTATAACACGGAATATTTGGCGTGAATCAAGTAGATTCGCGTAATTACTTATGAGCAACGACGCAACAACACGCATCTTAAACTGTCTTAAACACCCGAAAGAGGAAGTTTAATATAAATAGTTCAATCACTGAATAACGTAATGGTAGAATCGCACTCTCTGTTCCAGTAACGCAGCGTCATATAACGGAAAGTCGCCGACTTTAAGTCGGTAACTCGCTTAGAGCATATACTACATGGAGGAAGCACGCCTAAGGAAAAAGTGTAGACAACGGTGAGAGAGATGATGGTTTGGGTACTACCTCTCTCTCTCGCGTACACACATGATTTCGCGCCGTTTAGGATAAGGGGCAGAGACTTCCTCCTCTATCTCTACTGTTAGACAGAGAGAAGGAGTACCCAAAACTATTACTCTCTCTCTCTCACCGTTGTCTACACTTTTTCACTAGACGTGCTTCCTCCATGTAGTATATGCTCTAAGGTAATGTAGTTTCTCACTTTCATCACGAGAGGGCAATATGCGTACTTCGATTGTGGGCACCGGCCCCCCAGCGGTGCCATAACTTTTCCCTCGAGGCTCGCTTCCCCTGTTTTTCGCCCGTATTTCGATCCCCACTACTATTCCCCTCATGCGTGCTCATGCGCGTTCGCGAAGCTCTCCGCAGCGCTATGGTCCCCACCATGTTCGCGTCGTCCCCACTTTCCGGCCGAGGGAAAAGTTATGGCACCCCTGCCACGTGCTCCTATGTCTTCTTAACCTTCTTAATCCTGATGTGCCCACACGATCTGATGATGTTCACCACAATCGGAAGGATCGGAAGGAAATTCAATTCAGAAGATCGCATGTAACGTAACCTCCCGAATATATATGTAATAAAATCATTGAGCTCTATTGTACTACAATGGCTAAAAGTAAGTACGAACAGACTTTATTTAGATATCTACGATACAGTCTTTAAAAAAATTATCCGTTAACAAATACGTTCGTAGTATAATGAAATAAATCTCTTATGTAATAATACATATCTATGAGCGGACCTAGGTCTACGTAATTATACATAATTCCCACATATTTGAGTACATAATGGATTTGTAACATAATATTTTATATTTTGTTCGTAAATAGTTTGCTAATGTACAAAACATAATAAAAAAAAGTACTTTTTGGTTTATTTTGTTAGCCCTATTTTAAACTTATTTTATTTAAGGTTTTCTATTAAATTTTGTTTCATTCATAGTATGAAACAAATTCTCCATTTTATGAACAACTTATAAATACTCTTACCTATACTCTATTGATTACAAAAGTATTCGTATTAATACGGTTTACAAATACTTGTCTAAAATAAATATTACATCCATTACATGAATAAATGATAGACATAATTTATAGTGGTGATGCGAAACAAGGTATATAAGAGAATGTCTGAAAAACGTGTTCATTACTTATTAATTAATTTCTGTTGATTTACTGCCGTACAAAGTGGATTGTTCCTCTTGCTCTTTAAGTTTGTTTAATCTCTGAAGCTCCGCATCTCTCGCTCTATGTAAATATTTAAAGAAAAAGATCAATACTTAAATGTCAATTGTGTTAAAAATTTATAAAATAAATTAAATTTAGATAATCTCAATACCTGTATAGTGCTTCCTCCTGCTCTCTTTCCTCTCTTTTCTTTTTCAGAACTCTGTATGCCACGAAAACAATTAGGAGTAAAACTGGTATTAGGCAAGCGAGTACTATACCAGTCGTAATACCCGCCTGACGAGAACTATACTCTTGTTGACCTGTGTGATTTTCAATCAAATTTATAGGATTAATATAAGCTAGAAATAAGAATTCTATTAACAATCATGTGTAATCAACAAGTTGGCACAATCAATCAATCAATATTAATAAAGGAGAATAGAGGTGAAAGGAGGCAAATAATAAACGAAACTAACATTTTTAGGTGGAAATTTCCATTCCACTGAAAAATTGAAGGCTATTTAATAGTTCAAATATTTCTATTAACCATGAAGAGTGAATGCATGTGGAATAGAAATTTCCTTAATATATTTAAAGGTGTAGAAAAATTTATTAAACTTGTATAATTACATTAATAACTGCTTTATAACAAACTTCCTCTTTTTCAATTATTAAAATTGACACTGCATTTTAATGCGCGTAAACATTTTATGATATGAGTTACACTTTATCAAAATATATGAAACTTAATTATTTGCATTTCAATTATACAATTATATACATATATATAATTCCGTATTGTAAATCGAGAACATTTCTATTCCACAGCAAAAATACACATATTATGTACATAATTGAATTCCCACATTAACGTACAGTGTGAAATTTTTATCCGTTTCCCAAAGGGCGAATTTCATTTTCGGCACGGTGTCTATCGCAAGTGAATGCATTCTCAAATTATGAATATGACTAATTGTGATCGAAAAGATAAAGATCCAGATAAAGGTCAGTCATGAAATGGATTGTTCGAAGCGATTTTAGAGATGGATCGAATGAACTTTTGGAATGTCAAGTACGCGCGTATATCGTGTGAAAGTTACATCGAGTTTTAGATATCCCACAAGAACCATGTTAGCCAAGCCTACAGTGTCAGATTTTGTCCATTATCCATGTTTATCAGATCCTTTAACCAGGATGGATACAGAATTGAAGCAGTATCTACTACTCTATAAAGAATATGTACTTAGGTCAGCATCAGATTGGCAGAAGGTGCCAATGCAGATCTGTTTCCATTCAATGATGATCTATATATATCAAAATTCTGACAACGCAGGCTCTACTTCCAAAATGGAAGCTAAACGCGGATGCAGATAGCTACGGATCTGTATCAGCATCTCCTGTCAGTCAGATGATTTTGCTAACAGGACAGTTAATGACGTATTTCGGATTATCACTACACATCGCTCTCTTTGTTAGGACTTCCGGTTTTCTGAATAGAGTTCGTTGTACTTTTTTCTGAATCTCTTGGCGATTGAGGCTCTTTCAAGTCAAAGTCTTTGTCTTCGAAATCGACATCTGGTCTGTTCGGTAGGGGCTCGTGAGTACGATAAACTTTGTCATAGGAATGGGGTTTTTTTATCGAACTAGGGGCAGTGCTGGTATCGCTAGCAGGTGATACAGCTCTATCGTAGGTTTTCAACGGTGTGGTCAACGTGGAATCATTGTCAATGCCGGAACCGCGCTCGGAATAACGCCACGATTTCACCGAACTTTCTTGCCTTTGATTCTTTCGTATATAAAGGAAGGCGCCAGCGACACATGCCGTTACGGGGATTAAAACAGCACAAATAATACCCATTGTCGTCCATGCTGTACGCTGGGCATACTCGACCTGACCTGTATTTGTGCAATATCAAACAACCTGTTATTTTTCTTTCAGATCGCTTCAAGACCGTTTTGTAACGCGAGTATCAATGATTGTTCTAAAAATTTGTAAGTTTGACAAAAAATTGACAAAAGATAGAAAACTGACACGAAGGGAAAATAACGTATGAGAGTGTACAATGCCCAATTATGTATGTATGAATATGTAATAAAGCCCCTCCACTATAATCCTCCGCATTATGTCGAAATGATTGAATTTGAAAGTTTCATTCTAATTTTAAGCAACACACGCACATATATATATATATATATATATAAATTTCTAAACAAATGTCTGTTAATTATTATCATATAATAATTCAAATACTTACGCAAACATTCCGTATATCCGTATTCTGGTACATTCCAACGACCTTCCGGTGTGCAGACACGTCGTTGATCACCAATCAATATGAAGTCCTGATTACATTCGAAAGTTACTTTCGTACCCGGTACGAAAAAGAAATTACTCTTTCGTCCGAAACGTGGTGTTTCCAGTACGCCGCACGACACAACTGAAACAGAGGAATTGAAGTGTAAATGAAACTATTAAACTTTACATTTGTCGTCATTTAAAAATGTTTGGTATTCACTTTGTTCTTTCATATTCGCTTCGACTATTTTCGTGTACGTATCGTAATAATTTTTTGTAAAATGTGCCAAATCACGATTGAGCGACATTGCGTAGTCATATCTGCATTGATAATTCTCTCCACAAAGATCGTAAGCTCGTTGTATGTCAGTTGACCTACAACAGAACGACGCAAGAACTTATTTTTAATAAATTATTCAATATGTACTCCTAGCTACAAATACTAGAAATAATCATCTGAAATTAAAAATTTTCAAATCAGCGACCAGAACTATTCTGACAATCCTCTGATAGAAGAAATTATTTGTGCTGGATGTTCGGCTACTGGTGGGAAAAGTTTTAATGGGTAATTCTTCCAGCCAAAATACGACAAAAATCAAGAAAAAATTATTTTTAAATCTAAATAATACACGTTTTAAGCATCTAGAATTTTGTTAAAAAATACGACAATCACCTATTAGTAGGGTTCAATATCTCCTCAGGGTCTTTTCGCCATTCGGGTTCGAATGTTTTATTCGAATAATAGCTAGCTGTTCGACCAAACTCTCTAGTAAACAGTGCACCTCCCTTCAAGTTGTCTACTTTGTCCTCCAACATCCAATGAATGGCAAAGTCCTTATGAACTGCCTCGAAATGGTTTAAATTGGTTACGGACACTTGTTGGCCATCCGGACTTATCAAGTCATCGGCTACGTCGAAGTTCCATTTACCAAACAACCCTTTTGTCTTATTCTAGACAGAATAAGCAAATGATAAATAATGTTGATTAATTTATAGACTTTATCATTATAACATTTAAACATAAAAATCTTGCAGAATGCGATACGTAAAAATGATTTAATAATATACGTACTAAATAAGACCATGGTAAAAAGGCTCTGACCGACATATACCCTTCATTTTCAACCACTTCAATACCAGCACCTGTGTCGAACATGATGATTACTTCGCTTTGATTTAAGATACTGGTGGGTGTATAAACGACTACTCCGGTGAAATGTTGAACTTTAAGAGCTGGCCTGTCGAAGTAGACACGACGACTATTTGCAAAAACATCCAGACGATATCTCCATTGAGAATGTTTCGGTCTTATCCGAACTTCTATTGTCTCGGAATTGTTTCCTCTTGCTATTTTAAGAAGAAAAAAGTATAAAATGTACATATTTCCGATTAAAAGAATCATATCCATTTTACGTCCTTACGTGCTGCATTTTAATTACCTGCTACAGACGTCAGTTGTGTTGCTCTAACTTCACCATATATATTATTGGGTAACTGTTCAAATCTGCCTTGCACGTCCAGTTTATCTTTTAAATCATTCACGCGCACCAGAACAAATTCTCCTTTACCGTTAAATGTGTACGACAAACCGTCGAATGTAACGATATGAGGATCACCGAACGCAGTCGCCACGCCTGGTGACTGATAAGCGATGCAATCTTGAGTCGGTCGCCTTTCAAATCTAAAGGTCTCACAACCCACTGCGTGCTCTTCTTGCCACAGGCAGCACATGTAAAACGGTGTTACATCGTGATACCAATGAGACAGGGTTGGAACCTTGTTCGCTTCATCCCACGGATAGTAGCCCAAATTATGCGATCTATGAGGTCTAGAACCCCATTGCTGATCGTACGTCAACATCAAGTAACCGTTCTTATCGTAACAACATTGTTGTTCAGAACCATCCATACTGAAATTTCGGAGCATGTACTTTCGAAATTTGGAAATTGAAGAAATCAAAAAGTCTATAACATCAAATTGCAATACGATACACCGGAGATGGGGAACCTGCGGCCTCCTAATATTCTCTGTACGACCTTATTTGTCTCTATACTAAGCAAAAAGACACGTTTATCGTGCTCTTCCCAATTATCGTCACTACACATGGAATTAATTGAACTGGGAGAAGATAAAAAAATTTTGTACACCCAAAGAGGATTCCATTGAAATATGGAAAAATACAGTTGAACACCCATGCTTACGTCAACACGCTTGTCGTCTACTGTCTTGGTTTGCTACTACTTATTATTGCGAATCAGAAAATGATTGATTCAGAATAAAAAGTTCCCCACCCCTGTGATGTACTATTCCTTAAATGCATATGTCACTCACTTGGGTGCTCCAGTTCTAACACAATGATGCGCGTGCAAGTTATACATACAATCCAGATTTCCATCCTTGTCACAATCATAATCCGGAAGGAAACGACCTTTATCGTTTAACGCGTGTTTCAAAGTGCACGGACACAGGGATATCTCTGCCGCAAAATTCTTTAGGTATCTGTCATTCATGATCCACCTGTCACAAAGTCGTTGAGGCCACTTTGCTCCGTACATTCTTTCCCATTGAGGGTTGAAGTACCAAGCTAATGGAATTGGCCTACTCCATAGGACTCTACTCAAATTTTTCATTGTTATTAAAATATTTCATACAATTCGAACAACTTATGAAACTAATTACAGTCATGTACATACGGTGTGATATTAAGACCAGTTTGTTGGTACGGTTCCGTCAGATTAAGCTGAATAAATCCGAAAGTTAAATCTTGCTGAAATACATTGTTCTCGTCGCGATATTTAGCCGGTGTAACTACGTAGTAGCCCAAATTCGTATACGATCTCTAAAATTGTTTATAGAAAAGGATAATAAATAAATGTGAAGTATTACGATTAACGTACAAATTGTTTTTAAAAAGACCTCCAGAGTAGTGATGTATTCAAATTCGGGTGTAGTTTTCGTTTCACGGTATCCCCACAATGATATTTGCACTCCCGCATTTAAATTGCTGGTCAAGTTATACCGGTCCCAGGTAATTTTTATTTCTTTTGGATTTGCCTCGTGAACAGAATTCGTTACGAAAATCCTCTCGGCCGCTGTGGCTGGGGTCTCTGAAAAAGATTCATGCAATTTTCATCGAATTCTACTTCAAAAGACGATTATCCTCATATCCTATAATAAACTATTGAAATTATTACCAATGAAGTATTTTCCTTTCCAATCGTAATTCTTATTGTCGCCAACACTAATTGCAAATCGAATGTATCCTTGGGCCTTTACGAACGGTTGAACGCAAATCGCGCGGTTTTTATCAATCACGGTACCCATCACCCACACGGATTCGAACATACAACGAATCTTCTGAGTTTCATTGAAACACGGACCGGTAATATTAACTATGGTACCACCTAACATGTTTCCGCTCTCCGGTGCAAACATGAGATCCAAGTTTCTTCCAGCTAAAAAGTGTATCATCTTGCACGTGGTAGTAATATTTAATTATCTTTTGACAGACGTTCGATCTTACCGATATCCTTGTTACAAGCTCCAGGCAATATATTTTCGTCTATTCTAAATATATGACGTCCTGGAAAACCATTTACCCACCCTCTATGCGTTAAATCGCGAATCGTTGACCTCTGAGAGAATGGCTTGTATTCGTAATTTCGCGTACCGTTTCCGGCGTTGAAACCGACCTATGTAAATTATTATGAATAGCGAATAATTAACTTCGTTTGCAATTTTATAATTATAGAGAATTTTTATAAAAAATAAAACATTTATGGTATTAACTTAAAGAATGTATTTTAAATAATAACGCCTTTCATCGCCTCAGCATCCGAGACTGAAAAGGTTTCGAAAATGTTGAAACTGTATATTGATTCTGACCAAAACAATTACGGAGAATCGTAGAAATCTTATGACACGACTATTGAGTATCACCACGATATGCACTCAGCTTTCTATACATACGTATATTTTGGACATTACGTGCAATTCTTTCTGTATATTCGATCTTCTCATAAATGCACGAAAGTCTAATTATAATAGCCCGATGAACGCAACACGATACGTGTAAATTAAAAAGGCATGCACATAAATACTGGTCAACTTACATATGCTGGAACTCCACCTTCTCCATTCGTAGTATCACCGCCGGCTTCCGTATGACTTGTCCACTGCATATTCAGATAATTGAACATTACATACGTATTCACTTCGTCAGTGACCAGAACCATTTGAAAGGTGTTCGTCTTGTAAAGCGAATTATCGATACCGCCGGTGAAAGACATGTTTTTCCACGTCACTATAACTGCATGTTTGGGATCAAAGGCCTCGGTACCAATAATACCTTCGCGAACATCCCATTTAATACGCTCCCGCATTTCAACACCAAACTTGTCCTTCCTCCCTTGTAAATCTCTTTCCATCCTAAAATACCGGTAGTAAGCAATTTTAATCGTAATTCACAACGTACAGTGTACGACTCTGCGCTCTCTTCATTTACAATAACGTTCAACGAACCTAAAGTATACGCCCGGTTTTCTTTTATCACTATCCGTCGGCCTTATCATTCCTATGCGACATTTGCTGAAAAATATACCTATGAAACTGGGATCGTTTTTCTTCGGCCAATCCTTAACCGGAAATACGAGCGGATACGTATAGTGTACCGGTGGATCGCTAAATTCTAAGAAACCGTTCATAGACACCTAAAATGCATGACGTAGTGTTTTTAAAGCGAGGATAATCTTTTAATATCGTTAGATCAGATCAATTAATAGTTGTCGATGGTTCGATAAGAGAACGAAAAATGAAGACATACTCTGGTATAATTGAATCGGAAGCCAAAGAAGGGAAGCTGAAAATTGAAATTTTTATGTATTTGAGGTGTCGAGGCTTGGATATCTTTTTGATAGTCGCCTTCATCGTTATCGCCGCCTTTATCGAAGTACCAATACATGAACTCCGATCGAATTTGTCTTAGTTTAGCCTCTGTTATGACATAGTTCGACTGTGAATCATCCGAACGAGGCGCATATCTGTATGCTTCCGGTGAATCAGAATCTGCAAACGTAAATCCCGGTATTTCATCATCTCACGATTTGTTCATACGTACAACGTATCAAGTACCCCTATTACTCATAAGAAAATCCGTAAATTTTCAAGTCCAATAATTTTTGTCGGGCGTTATTTTTTGTAATATTTTCTGTCGACATTACAGCAATAGCTTCGCGAAGAAAATTAAAAATACAACAAAAATTTATACAACCGGTGACACAATCAATCGAATCGAGCCAGAAGTAAGGGTAGAGATCAATTTTAATCAAGATATCGGACGGAGAAGTCATGGTGGTAAGGACTGAATGATTCATCTACGATTTGTACTAGAACGGGTAACTGATAAAACAGATAAGGACTGATTCGTTCGTTTGTCCGTATAGCAACGTAATGACTATCATTCGAGCTTTAAAGCAAAATTATAAAACATTTTCGACCGAAGCAAGAGCTGAATGAAGGATATTCTAAAAGAAATAGACATTTAACAAGAAATTTAAAACTTGAAATAATTTCAATCGAGTCTAAACGAATTAGACAGAAAATATTAGTCACGCCCATCGATATCAAAGATACTCACCGTACAATAGATACTTTCCAGTTTTCTCCTTATCCATTTTACCTGCAATATTTTCATCGACTTCTTTGGTGACTTCATCTTTCTCTTCGGGAACATCATCGGCAATGAGTGGAACTTCGTCCTCTTTAGTTTCTTCGGCCCCTTGCTTATCATCGTTTTTAATTCCATCCTTCATCAAATCCGCTATTTCAGACCTAGGTTGGAACTCTTTGTATTCTTCCAATGATGTTTCTTTATCATTTTCGGCACTTTGTGTAGAGTCCAATTCTTTATTCTCCTTATCCTCCAGTCCGTAGGCATTTTCGAACGTTTGACCTTCGATTTGGCCCGATACGCGGTCGACCAACAAAATAAAAGAGCACCAAAGAACGATAGATTTCGATGAGGCGAAGACACGGCCGAGATTGGGCTCGTACCGCATGTTTTTTTTTTTTTTTTTTTTAATTGAAGCAATTACCGATTTCTCTGATTTACCGAAAGAGACTGAACCTGGTTCAGAAGAGGTGCTACGATAACGGTACTGATATCAGTTATATCGTGATAACACACAACGGTTATCTCTTTACTACAGGTGGATAAGGTAACGTTGAAAATCTGAACGAATGAAACGAACGAAGGGCCAGTGCCCTACATTCGAGGGAACGAATGCTCTTTAAACAACGCAAAACTAGACGTATGGAATTTTATTATCAGACACACACAGAATGTAACAGTTCAGTTTCTTCGGTTTTAGGGGTATCGCGTAGCGGATGTTAAAAAACAACAGCTTCTTACGTAGGACGTTTATTGTATTTCTGGTACGAAGACGTATTATTTACAAAAGAAGTATGTTTGCGATATTTTTACGTTGAAAGTGCTGCAGTGGATCATACTATTTTTAGTTTGGTAACTAACGCGTTTCACAATAAAGCGTACACTACACGTACGTAACACTGTCTGAAAAAGTAATTTAAAGAAAGGAAATTTTTCTGCTAATCGTGTTCTACAAAATAGTAATAACCATTAAGGAATTATAGCACATCTGTTTTTATCTTTGAGTACTATACGTTAATCGTTTTATCTAGTCTCATCTAAAATTGCACGGCGTCTGATTTTCATGAATATTTATTAAAATCCTAAATATAAGAAATTACCAGGCTTAAAACGTACCGATCTATAAATGCAATGTATGACAAATGTACATATGAACATTAATAGATGTACCTGAACAATGCAACAATTTGCACTTGCTCTCGCTTAAATTTCTTTTCTCCTTCGCAATGTTCAGTGAACCATCGACATCCCAATAGAGATTTTGCAAAATTCTTAAAAGTTAGTCTTGTCTCCACTTTGTTTTCATCTTTTGTACTGCAATTGTATCATCTCGTAATACCAATATTGTCACAAACGCTTGTAAAGAAACTACGTTACACATCTTTTACGTTGCACAGTATTTGTAAATATTTCACGTTTCGATCAATAACACAGTATCACAGAAGAGACCTATGAAAGAAATTAAAAAAATACACAAATATATCAAAGAAACGTTCCTATAGTTTCGTTCTTCCAATACGTGGATATTTCTCTTTGTGATTTACAGCAGTGATTCGAATACAACATCGTGGACATGAACTATACGCTTGATCATTAAGTGAAACATTGTTTTCGTAACATTTTATTCGAATGAAACAACGCGTTCCGACTGAGACGTGATAGTTTTATTAACATTACGAAGACGAAGAATTATCTCCATTACTGTCTAGATACCCGCCCGAACCGTTTACGACGAACGACGTTCCCAAACCGTACAAATGACCACAATACTTCGCATCGTCGATATTATCCTCGAAAAACATCTGAAACAAAAAATTATTGACCATTCTCGCCGATAAAAGCCGGTGACAAACTGTTATTTACTCAAGTCATTCGTATACCTCCCGCATCTTAAAGAAAACCATTCCCGTAAGTAACGAATCAGATCCAGCTTGATGCTGCGGTCCAACTCTTTGAATCTCCAATTGTTCCGCTACTTCTTGTAGGCCTCCTTTCAAATTTTTGCAAGATTTCATTAAATACTGTAAAACGATACACATTAGAATCGGGCGTACACATACTTCTCATCGTAACACACGCTCGCGTAGAACGATACTAGCAAAAAACATACTTTTACATCGTATATCGTTGGAAAGTATATCCTAAGGAGTTCGAAAAACTCACTTTCCTCTTGTGGTAAATTTTGGTCTGTAAGAAGTTTCAGTAGATACCCAAAGTCATAACCAGAGTGAAAGGACAGCCACTTAATATCATCGACGAGAACGATCCCCGATGTCATCAATAATTCGGCAAAATCTAACGGATCGATACCCTCTTCTTCGTGCTTCTTGAACTGTATACCACTGTTTTGCAGCATGTCTATACTATCCTGCGCATACATATCTTCCCTGGAAAATCAGTCGATAAGAAACACGTCGTACTCAACGGCGCCGTGCTCTTCACACCGAGCCATACTCACTGTAAATTAAATTTGAAATTAAATTGCCACGTCGTGTAACTACCACCAGGCGTGTTTCCCGATTCGTCGAGAAACGTGAGACCAAGTTGAATTATCCGCAAGAGATCTACGTTACATCGTAACAACTGATACTGATAATCAGCGCTAGTCCTGAACTCGCCTGTGACAGTGAACGCGATCAGCGAAACAAGTCACGACGTCATACAATCACGACGTCAAGACTCATAAAATTATATCATTATTTCATTCTATTTTACCAATGGGTCTAGCGACTACTCCAGGGAATTCAGTGTCCATTGCAATATACTGATACTGCTGTACGACTTGGCGAATCGTACGAAACTCTTCCTCGAGATTGTGACCCCAAACATCTCGGATCCCACACTCTTCATTACTGGGCATAGTCGCCCCACCCTTCTGCTGCCCTATGGGGTTAGTTCCTCCTACAAAAGGTTTCACAACTTCGTTATCGTTCTACTGGAAACAAATCGAAAACGAAACGAATCAACGGGCGACAATCATCAAAGTCTCAACTCAGGTCATAGAAATAGAACAAACGTACATCGTGTACATTTCGCTTTCACTACCGAACGAACAGTACGAAGCTATCGATACATCTCATCAGGAGCATCGGGAAAAGAACATTTTTGGTCGGTACCGTTCGTACATACGCTCCATTCAATCGCCTCGAGTAAGCAATAGTTCTCGAACAACGGAAAACGTTTGCACGGGTACAGACCAACCACAAATAAAAAAAACGTTAAAAAATCGTCAACCGTACGACCAAAAAGCACGTCGTCTATACAATCGCATCACGCAAGGGAAACAAAATTTTATTGCCTTCTCATCATCTTATTCTTACGTCGTACCTTACGACTTACAAGCTCGACGAATAAAATTCATTTAAACAAATAGTTTCACACGGTAACACGCGAACGAATCCGGTACAATAAATTCAGCTTTACTGTTCTGACTGACAGAGCCCGTAGAACGGCTCGTACAACTGCACCTTCTAGGATCTGTGCATTCTTCTGAAATTCTCTGAAAGCGCACACCTTTTCTTGCAGCAACAGCGACCGAACGTTTCTCGGGAACTTCATCGCACGTTTTAATCTATTCTACTACTCTCAAAGAGGACTCGAATCACGTCGTTCTTCTCAAAGGACGTTCGACGTAATTTCATCCACACAAAAATCCAAAGTACTTTATCTATCTCGCTTCACAGTTCCTGCAATACGTACGTGCCATATTTATTATTCAAAGCTCACGCACGCACGCACGCACGCAATACCTTTGGTATTCGTCAAACAATCGTCATTCGACAGAACCAAGCGTACGCGTCAAGTCCAAAGTTACTCAAGGCTCGATTTTACAAACTTTGTCATTCCTGACACGAATCAAGAAGACAAGAGCTCAATAGACAGAATCACACGCAAGACAGTGCCACGACAAAAAACAGAAATATTCACACGTTCGTAACGTGCCGAACACGTACCAGTGGCCGAGGGCATAAGGTCAGATATTCTCGTCGTCACCAGGTCTATTCTTCGCGTTCGACTCTCACTGTCACAGCTTTACCCTCTTCATATCACTGTAAATACACGTCAGAAACATCAGCACTGGACAAACGAATCACTCGTTACGCGATACAAATTCGATCTCGAAAAGACAGTCCTCATCAGACATCGCGTACACGTAAAAAAAAAAAAAATCAAAGAACGTAAACCGACGGAAATTCAACGGTCGACAAAACACCCGAGAGGTTATGAATCCGCGCAAACAAGTACTGCCTGTTCGCGCTAGACACGCGACAAACAGAAACATAAAATCGTATCATCGACAGGAGGCACGTGAGAAAAACACGTTTCAATCGCGAGCCATCACTCGAAAGACCGTGAAACTCTGAACAGACACGAAATTCATACGACAGGTTATACGCGAACCAGATAAACAAAGAGGATTCGTTGGAAGGGACACGAGAGGAGTAAACGTCGGAACATACCTCTCGGTACGCACGTTCTTCCACGGAACGTTTTACGACGCGTCAAGCAAACGGAACTGTACGAGACGCTGGTACGCGCTTTTTCTTCAAATCCTCCGTCAGACCGCGAACAGGTCAAACGAGCGTCCAAACTCGAAGCAGGAATCTCCTCTATCCTTCTACGGGTCTATAGAACGAAGTCAGCGCGCCAAAATTGCCAGGGCAGACCGAGCGGACCTGTTTGATTTTGCTCGCAAAGTCGCTAAGATCACGGATCAAGAGGCTCGTCAGAACGGTCACCTCAGATCGGCGAACAGTCGACCGCGTCCACAACGAACGGTTCGTACACACGAAAGGACCGACGGAACTGGAAAAATCACACACAAACACGCCAATGGCAGGATCTCGGCAGGTCTGCCGTAAGATTTGACAGCAGATTCTCCAACAGAACGCACCAATCCCTGCGATCAGAAAATCAGCCAGTCTGGCAGCAGATCGGCCTGCACATCGCCCGACATCTGCCGTCAGACGCTGGTGACAGGCCAATCGTCAGTGTGGTAACAGAACGACGACAAATCCGACGCGAGGCCTGTTTACAGACCGACGGCAGGTCTCGCAGTCATTCTGCGGCCAGGGGCTGACGGCAGGCCTGCCGACAAATTGCCGGTACAACGCGGACGCAGTCAGCCGACAATCCGTCCGCAGACTCAGCTCCAGAGGGCAGAATCTGCCGGCAATCCGTCGGTAATCTGCAGGCAGACGGTCGGCTGGGACAAGAGAGAGAGAGAGAGAGAGAGAGAGAGAGAGAGACAGAGACAGAGACAGAGACAGACAGACAGACAGACAGACAGAAAGCGAGCGAGCGTTCGCTGTGACGAACTTCGAACTTTGACCGTACAGTTAGTAACAACGAAATCGAGCCAGCCACGGTGTAAAAACAGAAGGTGTGTTCTCGCGCATCCATTCGAACACCCATCTGTACACGGACACTTCCACTTGTTGGCCATTTTGGATTTCTAACCAATCACGCTTCACATTAAAACAGAGCGAATTTTAAAATCGTAAACACGTCAAAAATGAGGTACGCGGAGTGTAACAGATACGCGTGTTTGGAACAAACAACAGGTGATCGTACTTTCAACACGGTCAACGAGTGGAAGGCGCAAACAGCGACACATTCGAACACGGCGGAAGAAGACACCTTACGTTTTTACATCATGCCTAAACCATCATCTCTCTTTCTCTCTCTCTCTGACCGTCGTCTACACTTTTTCCTCAGGCGTGCTTCCTTCACGTAGTATACGCTGTAAGGTGGAAGTACGTGCCGCTAGGGGTCGGATATTTTATCCCTCGGCCGGAAAGCGGGGACGACGCGACCATGGTGGGGACCAATAGTCGGTGGGGGTATGCAGTGATTTTCACGGTAGCGCTGCGGAGAGCTTGGCGAACGCGCAGGAGCACGCATGAGGGGAATAGTAGGGGGGATCGAAAGACGGGCGAAAAACAGTGGAAGCGAGCCGGGAGGGAAAAACGACGCGTATTTTGGTGGAAATTCTGCCATCGGGACGTTCGGCGGACGGTGGAGGAGGGGGGGGGGGTCGACGGGGCGTCTCTGGTGGGCAATCGTCCGTCTGTGGTTCGGACTTTTGGGAGCGAGGGTGATCGGGGACACGGGCGAGAACGCGAGACGGAGGTGGGGATGGTACGGGGAGGGGTGCAGTCGGTGGACGTTGGGAGTGTGAGGTTGGGGAGCACGAGGATGGAGGGCGATTTGGGGTGGACGCTTTGGTTGGATGTCGGAGACGGGTGGGGAAAGGGCGGGAACGAGAAGGGGGAAGGGTGAGAGGGTGAACTGTGGTGGAAGGAAGGAGAAGAAAGAAGAAAAGGAGGGGAAGAAGGAAGGGAAAAAAAGGGAAGGAAAAAAAAGAAGGAAAAGAAGGGAAGGAAAAAAGAAGGAGAAGAAAGAAGGAAGGAAAAGAAGGAAGGAAAAGAAGGGAAGGAAAAGAAGGGAAGGGAAAGAAGGGAAGGGAAAGAAGGGAAGGAAAAAAAAAGGGGAGGGAAAGAAAAAGGGAAGAAAAAGAAGGGAAAAGAAAGGAGGAAAAGAAAGGAGAAGGAAAAAGAAGGAGAGAGGAAAGGAAAAGAGTGGAGGGGGAGAGGGGGTGGGGGTGTGCGAGGGCGTGGGAGGGTGTGGGAGACGGGGAGTGTGGGTGATGGCGTGGGAGAGTGAGAGATGGCGTGGGAGAGTGAGATATGGTGTGGAAGAGTGTGAGAGGTTGTGGGAGCGTGTTGGAGAGTGTGAGTTGGGGTGGGAGTGTGTGAAGAGGGTGTGGGAGAGTGTTACGTGGTGTGGGAGTGTGTCAGTTGCTGTGGGAGCGAGTGATGTGGCGTGGGATTGTGTGAAGAGGGTGTGTGAGTTGGAGTGAGAAGGTGTGTGAGAGTGTGCTTGAGTGTTGGAGGGGACGCAATGGAACTGCAGCTCTGCGGGCCGGCGAAGCCGGGCCGCAGAGCGCCAGGTTAGG